GGGCATCAGATAGGCAGGCAGGTGAGTGCTTAAGAGCCAGTGGCTCTGGATTTTGAGAGGGATCCCAGACTGGAGATGGAACAGGCTAGGCTGAGGAACCCCTCCCACCCGTGCATGAATTCCATGCACCGGGCCACTAGTTTATTAAATAAAAACACTTAAAGTAAGGACACATACGTGAATGTGATTAGTACTCTATAAAGTAGTATGAAATACAAGTTACTGTTAAAAAGGTATTACATTTTAGACTAAAAATATTGCTAGCTACTCCATTTAATGTATCAGTGTTAAGTGAAACTATCTTACAAATTTTAACACACCTCTTAGGTAAACAATCATTAATTCATTGCCAATAATTTTTTAAAACCTTGTACACATTATACTCTAATAAATGGAGAGAGAAAGATGTTTTTAAAAAAAAATATTATACCAACCCAGCCCTAGAGACACTAGCAGGGTGGCTGCCTCAATATCAGCCAAGAAAGACTGTCACAAATTAATTAAAATTCCATTCAACAAAAGAAATTAAATGCCCAAGAAAAAACTACTATGTACTTTAATTGCATTATGTCTGAAGATCTATAGAATAGCAACTCACAGTTACCATTACAAGAACTACAAGAAGGAATTACTAAGTTCTCCATTTTACATTGGGTCCATTCCGTGTATCATTAAGAAGGACAAGCACTGCCCTCACTGTATAACAATGAGGTTCCCAAGGTGCTCAGCTCTCATCACTGAATCTGCCAGACAGACGCTGACCCTGCTTCTCAGGGTCAAAGCCAGGTACCTGACAACCTCAGCTTGTTACGTTTGCCTATTTAATTGATGTGGAACACAGAAAGGATTTTTATTATTTCTTAGAAATGTAGATACATACCTTCATTTTTATTTCCTAATTGGTTTTGAATATAATAATATTCTCATTTACCAAAAGAGGAAAATAAATGTCTAAGTCAGGGCCTATGTGAGAATGGAAATACAATTAAACATAACTAAATATCACATGGTGAGGATGATACATGCCATTTTGGAGACCAATAATTGAAGAGTTGTAGAGATTTTATGAACAAAAATAAAAATGATTTATTAATTTTTCTTAAAACACTGTTGGAGCCAAGAAACTTTAAAAAATATTAATTTGTTTAATGAGTTCTAAATAATCAAAACAATAACACATTCAGAACAAGTTGACTCATCTATCATCTCATCTATTTGTACCTCAAAAAAAGTAACCACAGGCTGAAAAATTACATAATTTCAGAACTATCTAAATGCCAAAATAAGGAAAAAGTGATAGGTGTTAGTTATCGACATACCTATTACAGATAACAAAGAAACTTCAGAACATATATTCAACCTTCAGATTTCATAACTGAGACCTAATTTTGCGTATATGGCTAAGTAGTTTTATAAAGATATCAATATGTAGGAATTAACAAAAGTAGCAACATCAAAGACTACCAACATGATTTAATTGCATTATGTATGAAGATCTATAGAAAAATAAAATTTGAAACCCTTTTCTAACTTCCATAGCAGAGTAAAGGTAACTACTCTGATCAGAGCATAATTATTTTAAGCTTCCACTAGAATTCATTATATTTAACAAAAACAGGGGCCTAACCTAACTGTTTGCGATCAACTGACCAAAAGATCTAATTTCTAATTCTCATGGTAAAAATATGAGATAAAATCCAAGTACCACTACTTAGCATTTACCAAGCATGCTTTCTATTCCTATCTAACACAAAACTTCTTAGAAGACAGGAATTACATATAAAATATCAGATGCTTGAGACATTTCTACAGTAATTATTTTTATTTTTTTAAAGATATTTTTATTGATTTCAGAGAAGGGAGAGGGAAAAGGACAGAGAAACGTCAATGATGGAGAGAATCATGGATCGGCTGCCTCCCCATACTGGAGGTCGAGCCCACCCCCCAGCATGTATCCTGACCAGGAATCGAACTGTGACCTCCTGGTTTATAGGTCAACACTCAACCACTGAGCACACCAGCTGGGCTACATTATTATTTTTAAAACAACCCAAATTATAAGAGTTTACTTATCTATCTGATCAGAATTGCATGAAGAAGCCCTGTGCACCGGTGTTAACACAAAAGAAATGAAATCCTTCAGGACTCTGAGTGCCCCATTATGGCATGTGTACCAGCAGCTGAGGGGAGCGTGGCTGAGGTCTGCTGGAAAGCCACCAAGACCCACGGAGGAACACGGGGTGACTGGCTGGGTGTGCACATCTGCAGGAATGCAGCCGCATTTTGGGCAGTTTCCTTATGGTCTTGGATGACAATCACTGACAATGGCCTTCTTCTTGGGCTGTAATGTTACATTTACGGAACATTATTTTGGTTGAAGGACCTGTCTGGTTGGTCTTTAAAACTAATAGGTTTAAAACTCGAATTTACAAAGGTATATGGCATTTCAAATGAAACACAAATTTTTGCAAAAAATTACGTTTCACAAAAAATACCATGTGCACCCTCGAAAAAAAACAAAAAAAATAGCATACTATTTTGCATTTTATCCTACTTTCTCTTTACATAAATTTTTTGTAATAGTGGTGTTTTAGGATCATTATATTCTGGGAATGGAACGTTTTTAAAGAGAACTCATCCTTTAAAGCATATGCTCTGATACACTCTTCACAGACGACTGCACACCTCGATTTCAGAGCCATGTCTGGTCCTGGTCACTCTACCAGCCGCCCTGTGTCCTCCGGGCTGTGGCATGTCACACTATAAAACAAAAGCATGGTATTCCTCCTCCCACGTTTATAATTTATTATGGGTATAGATTAAACAAATGCATACATTCAAAGGCACAAGTAATTTATAACCAGTTCAATTGTTTTGACAATATAAAATAAACTTCTTGAAGGAAAAGTACTGTAGTATTTTCAGGTGAGCAATAATAGATAAAGCTGACACAGCACTTTGCAATTTAAGAAGTGACTCTCGTACAGTGAATCCTCACAACCACCCATGACACTGTCTGGGCACCCTCCCCTCCAGTTTTATTGACGAAGAACCTGCAATCAAAACAATTCAGAAATGGACGCAGCGTCACCTGAGAAGCAGCAGAGCCTCGAAGCAATGGGTTCCCACAGTCAATCAGGGCCGCCACTGCATCTCTGATCGACCTTCCGCCAGAAGCGCCCTCACTAGCTGCTCACCACAACCCACAGAGATAACAGCGCCAACCGCCAGCCAGCACGGGGCCATGGTGGTAACTCTTCACTCCTCTCATGCCCCACAGCAGCAAGTGTCCTGGTCTCACCCCGTTTTCAAGGTGCGGAAACTGAGGCTCACTGGAAGTAAGGGCCCAGGAGCAGCTAGCGGGCAGAGGAGTGACTGGACAACTGCAGCGGGTTAAGGCCAAGCAAGTGAGGAGCGACCCACAGTCCACGGAGAGGGGAGGAGCGGCCCGCAGTCCTCCAGCACCCCCTCTCCGGAATGAAGAATGGCAGTGGGGGCATGCCTCCAGGAGAGCAAGGGAGCTTGGGGTGCAGACTGCTCTTTAAGCAGAGGATGGGCAGGGAGGGGCAGGAGCTGGGGAGGAGGAAGGCAGAGGCAGAGGAGAGGAGAGTGCAGTCAGGGCATGAGTGGACATGGCGCTGCCTCTCAGCATGGGGCAGGTGGATGAAGAGGGAAGGCTCCTGGAGGAAGGTGGCCTCCCAGGGCCTCCGGGCTCCGGTGGGCAGAGGTGCCTGGAAAAGAAGTGCTCCCCTGCTGCCCAGGCGCCCGCTCCACGAGGAGGAGGCGGTGGCACCAGCACTGGGAGGCTGGCCCCTCCACATTCTAACAACTAAAATGTCCTTACAGCTTAGCAGCTCCCCTCCCTGCAGAGCCTTCCTGCGGGAGCAGCAGCCTGAAGGGAGCACCGCTGAGCCATGTGCTCCCGCCCTCCCTGCCTCTGCCATGGGCCTGGGCCTGCTCAGCAGGAGGCTCCCCAGAATCACAACAAACCCCACCCAAACCGATAAGCTGAGATGCCAGCCTACACCTATCCGCCAAGGTGAGGCAGATTCACAACAAATAAAGAAATCCTGGCAGAGACCAAACACAGTGAGACCGGAGGCCGAGGCAGCAGCACTTCTTTGAAGACAAATTAAACCTTAATGGAATTTCTTATTACTTAAAATAAAATAAACCAGGTCACTGAAACGGGCTTACACTATGGCATTTTGCTCATTTTCATTCCATTTCTTTCGTTAAGCCATAAATTGCCATGGCAATACCTGAGGCACATTCTCACAATGACTGGGGTGCCTCACATCTCAGTGGAAGTACTTTCCCATGAGCTCAAAGAGGTAACACGAGTGCAGGGCGGGCGCTCCAAGTTTCTTGCTATGTCAACAGCTATTCACAAGCATGAGTTATCGCTGTGGCCACCAGGCCTGTGCAGAATACATTCCGGTCTGCGAGCAATCTCAGCACGCAGGCCGAGGAAGGTCTGCCCTGCGTGTGGAAATGTCAAAACCGCTGGACTTCCTAGAATACAGCACTCAGATTTTTCCTCCCAAAGCAATGAGCGTTAAGTATACCTTGATGAATTAAGTTCAAGTGTAACTACAACTGAAATATATGAATCAACTGAGCTCTGACCTATTTTTCCTCTCAAAAGCAAATGGAAACAATGATAGTTGTGAGACTTACATTTTTCCCATTCCAGCGGTTTTTGAAAGTTATTTCACAGTGGAACTAAAGGCAAAATATACTTCAGGACATTTATTTGCTTTGAAATATAATGTTATTGCTCAGAGGACAGCAGAATTTTTATAAAAATTTGTTAAATTATATTTCTTCATTTATTTTTAAACTGTATAGACGAAGAGGCATTCAGAAAAGAACTAATCTCAATACGTGACACATGACCTAAGTCTATAATTCAGCTGCAAGGCTGTAATGACTTTCAAGAGAGCCACAGCGGGCCTGGGAAACACAGGCAGCAGACAGGCGCGGGGGAAAGCACCTACCCCTGGCAGACAGCTTCTTGGTGTTGATGATTTTGGCAGCATATTCTTGACCAGTAGAGATTTTCATACATCTTCTCACCACTGAGAAAGCCCCCCTGAAAATAAAAAAATTACCAGGTTACCTCTATAATCAGCTCTGACAGTTACTCAAGAATGACATCATTTTGTTGAATATACTGAATTTTCAAATATCAGGCACTATGGTAATATCCAGAAAATAACCCACTCTTCCTGGAAACTCAGACTAGCCCTGATGCTGAGAACAAAGTAAATCTCATTTAACTGGGAGCACACATTATATTCAACAAAATGACAGGGACTGCCAATTTCGAGGCTCCTGTCTGCACATGAAATAGGAAAACCTTTTCCAATTCACAGTCACACCGCACCAAATGCTCCAGAAAAGAAAAAAAAAAAAACCCTGCGGAGAGCAGAGCTGAGGCAGAGCAGCAAAAGCCTGCTGCTATTTATCCTGGTAAGAAAAAAATTAACGTGGCTTCAAGTGAGCAAAGATGGCGATGGTTTTCATTAAAACATAAATCTCGGGAACATTTGTGTGGTTTAAAAAACCCTGGTATGGCGATTTCTCTGTGCCTGTTTTGGGTTGGGGGAGGGGAGAGATTTGCATTAAGCTGCTCTTCCGACATATTCTCCATGTTTTGACAATGCACAAACGTATAAGGAGAGAAAGTTCATTCCATTTAAAAGATATTTCCATTTCCTTTAATTCAGCTGCATGAACATCATCATACCCCGCACCATTTCATCGGTAATAGTGAAAGCAGAGCAGAGGTTGGGTTTGGGTCAGATGTTGCATAAATCATAAATCAGCATCCGCGTCGCCCCTGGTCCCTGCGCACAGCCGACCCTCAGCAAATCCCGCGCCTCCCGCACACCTCCAGCCCCGGCCCCGCGCAGGGCCTGGGCAGGCCCCTGTCCTCTCCTCGCACACCTCCAGGGCCCCGCAGGGCCACCACCGCCAGGCCACCCCGGGGACCCAGGAGACTGAAGGGCTCTCGGCCACCTCTAAGTCCTCCGAGGACGGCGGGGTGCGCGCAGCCCGGGAGGGGGCGGCGAGGCCACCCGGACAGGGGGCAGCGGCGCGGGCAGGGTCTGCCGAGCCCAGCCCCTCTGGACACGGCCCTGCGGCGCAGCGCGTCCCCCTTCGCGCGTGGCCGCCCCCCGGCTGCGGAGGCACCTCCGCTGACCGAGAACGGCTAAACGGGGGTCTGCGACCGCGGGCCGCGGGCTCGGCGGCGGGAGGGCGGCGGCAGGAGGCAGGCGCCTGGCCGGCCCGGCCCCGCGGGGAGCACCCCGGCCTCCCGGCGCCGCGCTTACTTTCCGAGCTCCTCGAAGAGCTGGTACTCGTCCGTGAACCGGGTGCAGGTGGTGGTGGAGGCCATCGTGGGGCCGCGCTGTCCCCGGGCCCGCTCGCTGCCCGCGTCCGAGTGGCCGCCCGCCGGATCGCGCGGGGCGGGGGCGACCGCAGCGGGCTCCGCTCCTCCGCTCGGCCCCGCGGCCCCTCCGGCCGCCGCGCCGCCCTCCCCGCCGCAGAGGCACCGCGCTCAGCTCCGGGCCGAGATGGAAAACTGCCGGCGGGGGAGACGCAAGCAGCCAGCAGCTGCGAATGCTCTGGGGCCCGCGGGCGGGGCGGAGCCTGGGCGGGGCCATCGCGGGGGCGGGGCCGAGGGCGGGGCTGGGCGGCGAGGGGCGGGGCCCGCCAGAGGGTCGGCGGTGGGCGGGACATGGCGCGGGGCGGGGAGGCTGGAGAGGCGCGTGCGGGCCGGCGCCCTGAACACTGCCTCCCGCCGCGCGGCCCCGAAGGCCCTCGGCGACCCCGGCCCGCCCCTGCGCGGCCAGGGGCGTCGCGTGGGGAGGCGGGGGAGGCCCACAGGCCTCAGGACTGGGCGGCGCGTGGCCGCGGGGGCGGGGCCCCGCCGCGAGGGAGGCCTCGTCGGGCCGGCCTCCCTTCCAGGACTGCCCGGCCTCTGCCTTCCCGCCTCCTCCGGGCCGGGGTGCTCACGCTCGGGCAGCCCCAGAAGGGTCGCCTTCGGCTGTCACGGTAGCGGAATGAAGGCAAAACACCGCCCCCGGCCACACCTTCGCTCCTGAGGGATGCTCCGTCAGTTCCGCGAGGAAGGCGGTTCTCGCGAGATTTCCGCGCTGCTGGGAGGGCGGGGCCTCTGGGGCGGGGGGGCGGTGACGCACCCATATGCTGACGTCATCCACACACGTGACACGTCTCGCCCGCCCCCTGCTAAGAGGGGAGGCGAGGTCGCGGGCCTCCCAGGCATGCTCCGGGCTCCGCGGGTGGCACACGCGTGTCCCGCGTGAGTGCTGGTCGTGAGCGCTGTCACACTGGTTACAGTAAAAGGCGAGGAAAACAATGGTGCGCTACGTGAAAAACAGTGGATAAGTCAGGTCTGTGGCAGCGCCCTCGGCCTTCTGGGCCTGTGCCCTTCATAAGCTGTGACATTGAAGGCTGGCTAGACATCCAGCAAAAGCTGCGGCCTAGTGAGCAGTGGTCTCCTCTCCTTTTACTGCCTTTTGCTTTGCAGCAGCCACAGGGAAACCTTGTGACTCCATCGCTCATTTGTTCACCTTAGCATTGCATTATGGGCTCAGAATTTCACCGCGGGCAGAGGAAGGTAGCTGAGAGGATCTGGGATTGAAAGAGGGGTTGCTATTGTCCATGTCGCACCTCGTTCCCTTCTGCCCCGTCTTGGAGTGTTAGACTGCCAATAACTTGAGGTCTCAAAATGTTCACAATTTTTAGCGCTTACTGTAACAAAATTGAACTTTATGCATATTTTGATTACCAACCTTAAAAAGTAAATATTATACTAGTACGAAAGAGGATGATACCGAAAACTACCTAAAGGAAAGAGACAGGGTGTCTAAGCATTAATAGCCGGGCCATCACGTGGAGAAACCCCTACCAATTTGGTCTGGGTTGAAAATGTTTAATATACGGCATAAATATTTAGCAAAATGGTTCCAAGTTACAATGCAATGATTTCATATTCTCTGAATCTAAAAATGAAACAAAAAGTAAAATTAAAACAATAAATCAAGTTATAACATTTTACAACTCTGGGGAAGAAAATTGCTTTTTGAATACTCACATAATGAGGTCTACATAATCACAGTATTTATCTCAGTTCCTTAAATTACTGGTAATTGTAAATGGTTATGACAACAAAGGAAACATAACTGAGTTTTAATAGTGATGTATTAGTAGACAACAAATGTGTACTTTTTTAAAGCAAGCCCTGTCCACTCAGTCTGGGTTTGCTCTGGTCCTTGGTCTGCGGTATCGACTCTGTTTTAGTGCATATAGAGCCAGAGCGGAGGGGACTTTCGGAACCACTGTTGACAAATCAATATGGAGTCACTGCCAGCCATGGCCTCTTATGCCAAGACTGAGGCAACGGGGTGTAAAGGGGACGCCCCTAGGAGGGGCCAGGAATGCCCAAACCATAAGTCTGAATGCGTGGATTGGGAATCCTTCTGGACAGGGATATAAGCAGGGGCAGAAAAGGGATGTTGGGATCAGCGATAATTATAAGAAATATTTATTATGCTCTGTTACCCTGACTGTGTTGTTCTGGTTAAAGAAGCACATTTTAACCTGGCTGGGAGTTGCTTTTATCACTGGAAGACCAACCACCTGTGCAGAAACCAGAGCCGCCAGCCCTAGCTCACCGCAGGCCTTAGACTAACCTCCTTGTCCCCCCACCCACACCAGGGCCCCTATATGTCTAGGATCATCTGCCCCTTCTCATCACTGCCTTTCAGACCAAACTGCTGTCTTCTCTGAGCCAGCCTGAGGGAACACTGCATGGCTCGCACCCGTCTTCTGCCTCCTACAGATCCTTTCTGCATGCTCCGTGGCTGTCAGTTATATCTGGTTTAAGAGCCTTTTCTAATCCTCAATTTTTTCCCTCCTTATATTGTTACTAAAGGCCCAGTGCACGAAATTTGTACACAGGGGGTGTGTCCCTCAGCCCAGCCTGCACCCTCTCCAATCTGGGAGCCCTCGAGGGATGTCCAACTGCCTGATCCCAGTAGGACATCCCTCTCACAATCCAGGACTGCTGGCTCCCAACTGCTCACCTGCCTGCTTTCCTGATTGCTCCTAACCACTTCTGCCTGCCAGCCTGAATACCTCCTACCCACTCCCCTGCCAGCCTGATTGCCCCTAACTGCCCTCCCATGCAGGCTTGATCACCCCCAACTGCCCTCCCTTGCAGGTCTGGTCCTTCTCAACTGTCCTCCCCTGCTGGCCATCTTATGGTGGCCATCTTGTGTCCACATGGGGGCAGCCATCTTGTGTGTTGGAGTGATGGTCAATTTGCATACTACTCTTTTATTAGATAGGATAGAGGCCTGTTGCACAGGTGGGGGGGGCAGCTGGTTTGCCTTGAAGGTGTCCCAGATCAGGGTGAGGGTTTCCTTGGGGTGTGGGGCAGCCTGGGCAAGGGGCCTATGTTGGTTTGCATGCTGGCCACATCCCCTGGCGACCCAAGCAGAGGCCTTGATATCTGGGATTTATTTTCTATAATTGAAACTTTGTAGCTTTGAGCAGTGCCAAGCCTCCTGCTCGCTTTGTGGCCACAGCCATTTTTGTTGGGATTTATTTATCTTCTATAATTGAAACTTCATAGCCTTGAGTAGAGGGAGGCCTGGGCCATCCAGGGTGTGCAGGAAGCTTGGCTTCCTCCATTACTGGGGAAACCCAAGCCTCTTGCTCGCTCTGCGGTCATAGACATCTTGATTGGGTTAATTTGCATACTTGCTCCTGATTGGCTGGTGGTCGTAGCTTGTGGGTGTAGTGGAGGCACAGTCAATTTTCATATTACTCTTTTATTAGATAAAATTCCTAGATGATTAGTGTTTTAATCTGTCTACAATGGATAGTGAGCCTGGTCCTTGAGCATTGACCTATGAACCAGAAGGGTTATATTCCTAGTCAGGGCACATGCCATAATTGGGGGCTGGGTGGCTGATCAATGATTCTCTCTCATTGTGGATGTTTCTCTCTCTCTCTCTCCATCTCCCTTCCTCTCTGAAATCAATACAGACAAAATGGCTGGTGAACAGCATGAGTCAGGGTCTACTTTCATTTTCTCCCTGAAACAGGTGGCTAGTTTTGTCAATGAATTAACTGTATAGTTCATATTTTTACCACTTATTTAAAAGACCTTTTTAAAAATATTATATCCATTTACATGTGGGTTGGCCTGTTCCTGTGACAATTCTTTTCTCTTAATTCATGGATTTTTTAATGCTCTTCTCTTTCATTTTTCATCCTTGCAGAGGAGGGAGGGGGGTCAATGAGTCACATTTTTATGAGCAACACTTCTTTTTCACAACTACTTGGTGGATTTAGCAAGTGTGCCCTCAAATTAAGACTGAAAAGTTGTTTCTGAAAGTGAAGGCAATTAAACCGGTGGATTATCAACACGGGCAGGAAACAAAACAGAGAACCCTTGCGGCTTAAACGTGGAGAATCGTGCAATTAATTTTGCAGCGTTTATTCTGTGAATTGCCAGGCACTTTGAGGATGCACATAACATGACAGTGTCCCCTCTTCCGTATGGTCGGGTGGGGAAATGGACATGAAATCGGTTATTGCTGAAAATGTCAGTCCTACAAAGGAAGACTGCAGGGAGCTATGACAACGCACTCTGTTTGTCTTGGTGGAGCAGGCAAAGCTTTTTTCTGAGAACAGAGGAGCAAACTGAGATCTGAAGGGTTAGTGGGAGTCAAGGAGATCCGAGAGAGGCCAGGGAACAGCATCCAGGGGATGGGATGTGGCCATTCAAGGAAACAAGAGGCTGTTGGACTTGAAGGTCTTAAGCTTGGGTGTGACATCTGGGCCATACAGGCCGGTGGCTGCCTCCTGGAAAGTGGAGGTTAGCCATCTAGACTGTCAGCTCACAGGCAAGGTGAGAGAAAGGGAAGGTGTGAAAACAGAGATAGAGGCAGAGTTAAAGTATATTTGGGGAAATTAATATCAAAATAATGAAGCATTGACAATTGAGGTTGTCTGTTAATATGAGTTAGATAAAACTGTATACTGTCTATGACTTAGATTAGTGTGATTTAAATTCCATTTTTGTTTTGTTTTTAGGCAAAACAGTAGTATTCAACAAGTTTCTTTTTTAAAATATATTTTTATTGCTTTCAGGGAGGAAGGGAGAGGGAAAGAGAGAGAGAAACATCAATGATGAGAGAGAATCATGGATTGGCTGCCTCCTGCACGCCCCACACTGGGGATCGAGCCCACATCCAGGCATGTGCCCTTGTCTTGAATTGAACCCAGGACCCTTCAGTCCGCAGGCTGACGCTCAGCCACTGAGCCAAACTGGCCAGGGCAACTAGTTTGTACACACTGCAG